CGAGAAGTTTCTTCGTCCTTTTGTATGTATGCATCTTCTTTCAGAGGAACCTTACCTGAGGTTAGCATTCGAACCGTTTATTTCACCTGCAAATTCTACCTGCCGCTAAAAATCGTGAGAACACTTTAACCAGAGACGATTTTTCGGAATACCGAGAACTGCATTTCAACCGTTCGTGAGAATTGTTCATTCAAAGCATTCTTTTCGATTCCTAGTATTCCAAATTTTTCGACTTAATGCGAATTTCTTTCTCATTCAAACAACTCGTTTTATGAAAACAATCGGTTCAAGGAAATCTATCTATGCCTCTACCTTGAAAATATCGGAAGTCGGTTTCTCGATAAACGATACTTAGCAAGCTCGAAAGCGGTATCGCCAAGATCGTCGCGGTTTCATTCCGTTTAAGAGGAATTTCTTTCAGGGAAATTACGTTTCCATTTACGTTTCACGATTCCACCGTGTGAAACTCGTGTGGACGTCGCCGCATGACGAACCTTTGCTCGAGATACCATCGTGAAAGTCGTAAAACACATCGATAATTATCGTCCAATGAATCGAACAATTTTCAGATAATGTTTCGTTCATTTTCAATGAGCAGCCTGTTTTTCCATTAATCGTTATTTAATCGCTTCATAACGAAACGTCCTTAATCCATTTCTCGAACTACCTGGAGTCGTACCGAAATGTTACGTAAAAACGTAATTAGGCAATCTATCCTACCGATCTCTACTGCCCGTAATTTCTACTACGTCGCCGTTCTCCACAGTCAATTCCAGTTTTGTAAAAAATTCACAACCGTGTTTTCGTACTAAGAATCGAGTTTCCTCGTTCATTTGCTCGTTAATCGCGTTACCATTCGAAATTTTGCGAAATTTTAATCGCCATCTATGTTTCCATAACACCGAAAACTTTTGAAATTGTTAGGTTAGGCTATAACTATTGGTAACGTGATCATTTGCGATGCTGGAAATGGAATAAAAAAATAAGGAAAAGAAAGAAACGACTTAACGAATAATTATTCGAGTAGAATCATTAAGTATCGACGAGTTATATATCGTTTTATATAGTTATATATCGTTTTCAGGTTCGCGTTTCTGATTCGTGCCTATTCTTTACGTGTAAATATCGTTTAATCGTTGATTAGAATATAGTCATAATCATGGACCAGTAGTACTTTGAATTGTCGTGCGTGGAAGGAGAAAAATCATTGCATTCCCTCGATAGACGTAACACAGCGGCCGCGAGGAGAGTTGGTCGGTAATGGCCGATGGTAAAAGAAGTGCAGCCAACCGAGAGACGCATGGTTGTTGTATTATGCAGTAATGACTGCCGTGACGGCACCCGTGTCTTCTCTCTGTTATTCCTCTTCTCTCGCGCCGTTCGTCCAATTACCTCTGCTCCGTCTCTTCGAGCTTTTGGATCTTATCCAGAAGCGGGACTTATTAGAATCTAATTTGCGTAATTG